AGAAAATTTGGGCAGGTGACAGAGGCATAGAAAAAGGCAGATCAGGATGTAAGGAAGTAAAGTCAAGTCCTGGAATATTAGTTACTCTAAATTATGGATTATACCATTATGTAATTATAATTAATCTTATGTGAGGTAAGCAGTAGTAGATTTGATAAACTATTTTGTAGAGATTGAATCCTGTAAAGGTAAAAATTAAAACTCAGTAGCATAAACCCCCCTCTTTAAAACTAGATTAATATAAAAGATCAGAGTATGATTATTTGCTGTTCCTAGAAATTGTCAGTTGTGTGATTTCAGTTAAGGTGATTGCATTTAAATGTAAAATTATTTGTGGTATCTTTATAATATTTTATTAAAACAATCTAGTTTACAAGTGACTCCTCAAGTTTATTTCTGTTGGCTGAAATGAGAAACATATTCTATTCTGTGTTTACAAGATACCCATTAATTGGGAAATATTTTTTTAGAAATATTTTAGGGAGAATGTGAAATAGAGTTAAAAGTTGGATTTAGAAGGTTTTAATTCTTTTGTGCCTTGTACTAGCCTTCTAAGACTTTGTCTTGCTGTTTGTGTGTGCTTGTGTGTGTGTGTGTGTGTGAGTGTGTGTGTGTGAGAGAGTGTGTGTGTGTGCATGCGTGTGAGTGATCAAACCTGAGGTCTCACACATGCTAGGTAAGTGCTTTACCTCTGAGCCATCTCCCAAGTGCACTTTGTGGTATTTAAATATAGTAGTCACTTAATTTTATTGAAGTTTGGTTTTTTCAGTGAAAGACAGTTTATAATACCACCTGACCTAGCTTGTAGAGTGACCGTTAAGTTCAAAGTAAATAAGATAATACATATATGTGAGAGTGCTTGGAGTATAAAGTGCAATAAACATGTACACCAGTGTTATTAGATATATGGCAGGCTTGGCTTGTTTTTGTGCAGTTGATTGAGATGCCATTTAGACAAGGAAAGGAAGAGTCTGACAGTTAAGAAAAATATCTACAGAACAGGGCTAAGCAATAGCAGCACTTTCTGGCCAGGAAGTGGCCCTTTTCTTTAAGACTGCATTTCAGATACAAAGTATTATCATGACTCTTGTGATAGAAAGTAAGCAGGAGGCCTGGGGTTTGCTGTGCAGCAGAGGCATGTGAGGGACTGCGTGGGCACTTGGTGATGGAGCTGGATTAGTCTTCCATGGAATTTTCTATGAGTTTGGTTTTAACTTCAGCAAAGGCTTGATACTAGGTATTTTTGGTTAAAGTACAGTGCTTAAAATTATGGGGAAAAAAAAAAGAAAAAGAAAAATTATAAAGTACAATGCTATTTTTACTTCAGCAAGTGAGAGGTATTGGTAGCTTTAGTTAATTACTTGTTCTTTTCTAAGGTAATCAGTTTATTTTCTCTTTACATATTTGATAACAGGTGGTGTTTATGAAGATTCCTGTGCTAGTCACGGCCCAATGAGTTTGGGAGAGTTGACGCTTCAGCCAAACTCCAGCGTTGTTCTTCCCACAGCACAGCCGAGGACACAAGGAAGTGATGTTTGCTTACTGGAACCAGCTAAGGATTTTTCTTTGGTACCAAATTCAGCACATTTTCACTTTACTATGATAAGAATTTTAGCAGTATTACCTTTGCACTGATACACTGTCTGAAACATAGTCTTTGGAGTCAGCCAGCCTCATCATGCTTCCTTTCTTTACTGACTCAATCCTGAATATGAATCTCAGCTCAGCCATTGTCTAGCCATGCCCTTGAACACACTTCTCTGAGCCCAAATTTAATAAAGATTAAAATTAGCATAGTAGTATACTAGCTAATAGATAATTAGCATATATCTGACATCTGGTCTGGCAGCTGCAAATATCTGTTTCTTGCTGCAATGATTTGCACATAGTAGGTATTCAGTAAATATCACATTAAAATTTATGTAATGTGCTTAATGAAAACACAACCAGTATCGTAATGAGTAAAGCCCGTAGCCCATGAAATCTTATGTACTAGAAAGGTAGGATAATTGTTTTCTAAGACATTCTTTTTTTTTTTTTCCTTTCTGTATTTTAGGGAAGGGTCTACAAGGTGTTCAGGGTCTCATACTAGATCAGACTTGTAGTGATTCTCCTGCTTACAGCCTCCCAAGTGCTGGGATTACAGGTGCATGTACCACCATGCCCAGTCTCAATTGCTGTCTCCATGTGTGCTGGCAAGGCAGGCCTGGGGATTGAATCCTGGCCCCGGTGCGTTAGTTCACTGAGCTATTTGGCTGGCTGTTTAAGGCATTCATTTTAAAAATGCTCACGTTATTAAATGTGTTTTAGCCCTGGGGTTATAGCTTAATGGTGCAGCTCTTAACTGTCAAGGTCCTGAATTCATTCCTGGTACCAAAAAGCTACAGTTTTATGTTCATGGATTGGCAAATCACTTCTTATTGTGGATTAACTTAGCATTCACTGGATGGTATCATGTACTATTGTGATTGTGTTGTGGAAAACAGAAAATGTATAACATAAAAATTGTTTATGGAGTACATCATTATGGAGGGCTCATTGTCACTAATGTGTGACCAAGCAGAAATTAGGAAAAGCGACTTATGATGAATAAACATGTTAATAGCTTATCCATAAAAGAAACATTTTTGTGACCATGAGGCAAAAGTTTCTTAGATGTCGTGTCAATTGCATTATCCATGAAAAGATAATTTAACAAGTGGTCATCAAAAAATAAAAACTGAAAACATAATATTAAAAGAATAAAAAGGCAAACTACAGACTGGGAGAAAATATTTGCAAGTCACTTACAGTACAGTTAAGACTTGCATGCTGAGTATACTGTAAAATGAACTCTCAAGGCTGGGCCTGGAGGTGCACACCTGTAATTCCAGCACTGGCAAGGCTAAGGCAGGAGGATTGCCGTGAATTTGGGGCCAGTGTAGCCTCCATAATGAGTTCAAGGCCACCCTCAACTACACAGCAAGACCCTATCTTAAAGAGGAAACCCAACAAAAGACTTCTCAGAACTGAAAACAGAAAACAATTAGAGTCCATTTAGATGAGGAAAAAAGATTTGAATAAATGTTCAGAGAAGATAGATGAGTGCCAAATAAGTGTAAGAAGATTGTCACCTGGTCATACCTGCACATGCCTGTAATCCTGGTGCTTGGAGTCTTAGATGGGAATTGCTCTAAGTTCAAGACCATATCTCAAAAAAAAAAAAAAACCACCCAAAACACTAAAAGAAAATCCTCAACATTGTTAGTTACTAGGAAAATGAAAATGAAAACACAATGAGACACTAACGTACCTTCACTAGAAACCTAAATGTAAAAGACTGGCCCATCAAGTGCAGAGCAACTTCCAAGGGTGCAGAGCAACTTAGCTGAGACCCTGCCACTGGAAATGTAAAATGATCAGGCACTTTGCAGATAGCTACTTCTAAAAAAAAAAAAGATACGCCTAACACATTTACTCACAGCATTTTATTCCTGGTTTCCCAGGAGAAATGAAAGCATGTCTTCATAGTCATGTATATGAATATTCGTAGTAGCTTTATATTTGTAATAGCCAGAAACTGGAAACAACGCAGATGTTCCACTGATGAATGGACAAGTCATGATCTGTCCTGTACAGTGGAATATTGCTCAGTGATAAGAATGCACGAACTAGGGATGTTTACAGCAACACAGTTAATTCTTGCAAAAAAGGTTGAGTCAAAGAAGGTGGGCTCCCCTCCCCAAAATATATGCTCTGTGATTTCATTTATATAAAATTCTAGAAAATACAGACTAATCTATAGTGATAAAAAGCGCTTCAAGTCTTTGCTAGGGATGGCAGGAGATGAAGTGGAGAGGGGAACAGAGAATATATCTAGAGGGGTGTGAGAAACTTGAGATGGACGAATGTCCGTTATATCACCCTGAGGATGGTGACTGTTCCATATACACGTTTCAGAACTGAGCAGCTGTACGTTTTCAGTACATACAGTTCATTAGCTTGTCACTTATACCTCAGTAAAACTGTTTAAAAAAA